CTCAGAATGGGCAACACTGCTTTAACAAGTTCATCATTCCCTAAATCAGGTTAAAGTCTCTTTCTCAGCTGTAACCTTCTGATTTTACTGCATCAGGCTGAAACCATAAATCCAAGTGCTGATGTGATCCATAACACAGGGTTTCCAAGCTCTCCCTCCCCATCATTTGATTCAGCAGAGCGTGGTTTAATTATTCAAATCCCAGCGTCAATGCGGCCGCAGTGATTCAGCAGTACCTGCAGCACTGCAGCTGGATCCCAGAGCTCAGGTATGCAGGGAACACGGATTGGCACCACATTTCCTAACCAAGCCTTCTCTTCACAGCCAGAAGGGATTTCTGCCCTGTATCTGCTCATCTCCTGCTGCCAGCGGGATAAGAACAGCTTGGAGCCAGCTGGGTAGCTCTGTTCCCTACACCCAGGTCTTGCTCTGCCTCTGCTCCTTCCTAACCCTTCTCCAGACTTGCAGCCTTTATTGCCACTGCCTTGGGTCTGTGGCAGACCAAAGGTTGTTTTTTCACCATGCCATTAGTTGGTATTTCTCACATGGAAGGAATTGCTCAGGGAGAAGCTCTACACCAGGATTCCCCGCCCAGGTGCGACTGGGAAGCGCAAAAGGCTGGAAAAGGGCCCCCAGGAAATGGCAGCCTTGGGCTTGGAGAGGGAAATTCCTGCTGGTTTTACTTCTGAACGCTGCACCTGGAGGGCTGGCTGACTTTGGCCACAGGGCCAGGCTGCAGGAAGAGCAGTCTCGCTGGGATAAGTGGTGGCAGAAGGCAGGTCTGGAGGCACAGGACAGGCTGAGCCCATCTGCTGCCACTCCCATGGACATGGCCCACAGAGCAGTGTGTGCATCACAGGAAGGATCTGAGCAGCAGCCTGGCCATGCCAGACAGAACCTGCACCTGCCAGGACAAATGCAGCAGAAGACAGCCATGACCTTGCAGCAGCCACGGAGCCAGGTGACATCCTGGCAGCCTGTCCTTCCACTGCAGAGGGACAAGAGGTGCACGTCCTGTGCTCAGGGAAACTCCTCTAGATCCAGTAGGATGGAGAATGTGCTCTTTGAGCTCCTTGCCTGGGTCTGGCTCCATTAGGTGTGGGTCACTGAGCACCAGGACAGCCTTTCCTCGGGAGCGGCCGCTGCCTGGGAGCAGGGCTCAGATCCTTTCAGCCCCTTGCTCCTTTGTTTTATGATGATGAGCTGGTTCCCATCAACATGCCCTGGGAATAAGTGTTTGCATGCAGGGGTTCAGTCATGACTTCTAGCTGGGTTCAAGGACTTTTATCAGCTTGGCTTCATAAATAACACGAGATTCCTTTCTCACGAGTGTGCTGTCTAAGCAACATATAAGCCTTGTGCTGAGGTACACACTGATTTTCCCTCTAAGGCTCTGGAAATATGACACGATTCTGAAATAATCCAGATATACTGATCAAGCTGTGCTTATTAGCAAAGTGTTCTACAAGCATTGGAGGAACTCTTGCTATTTAATTTGGGAATAGATGGTTTGACACAGGAAACACTCGGAATCACTGACACCGTCCTGAGCTGAGTTCCCTGGCAAGCACAGGAAGAAATGCTGTGGTTTTGCTTGCTTTACCTCTCAGACTCCACCCTGTTTATAGATTGTGGGAAATCCCAAATCACACACCACAGAAAACAGGCTCAGATTGCTGCCAATAAACTTCCACTTAGAGTCAATCACAGCCAGGGCAGAAAGTTGGTACTTATCCAGTTTTATCCTCACACAGCTGCAGCACTGCTCTCCCAACATAATGGGAATAACAGGATTTCTTTCCTCATTGTACTTCAGATTAAGAGGGAATAAAGGGTAAATACCCCCTGCAAAAGGTATTGGGGTAAATCTCTGGCAGTAGGAAGCTCACTGGTGGATGAAGTAATGATTCAGAACAAGTTTTCCAAAGCATATTTTAATTGTGAATTAAAGAGTGCAGGCAGGTGGGACACAAATGATCAGCACAGAGCAGACACTGAAAGAACAAGAGCAGTTCCTTGGTGGTGTCATACAGTTATTCAATAATAACAACAAAGTTTTTCTTTGTCTAGAACACATAAAAAGAGCGAGCAGCATCTGGAAACCAGCATGGATAGATGGGAGATATATTCTTCAGGGGAAATTCTGATTCAGTCTCCTTGGGCATAACTAAAATTATTGATGCATGAAAAGATATTATTTTCACTAGACGAGATTTATGCCTGTTGTATGTTAGGCTAGTGCTGCAGAACTCTGGGATCTGATTTTGTTTGTTATCCTAGACATCATTACACTTTAATTAATGTTCCCTGGCAAACTAAGAAGCTGGGAAATTTATCTCTTTTTATCTTGTGAGTGGCATATATCTCAAGCACATTTTGCTGGAATTCACAACTAGTGAATAAATTTCTTTTTTGCTGCCCCATCCCTGGAAGCATCCAAGGCCAGGTTGGAGCAACCTGGTCTTTAAGGTCCCTTCTATCCAAACCATTCTGGGATTCTGTGCATGGAAAACAGAAGCCAGGAGAGTTGCCTTGGTTTCCTCTGGCTGTTGAGGGAACTGGGTTAACTGGACTCAGTACTGCTGTTCCTCTCTTTTATTAGGAACCTACTTTTTTGGGTTTTTTTCCTATTTAAAGAGAATTTAACAGAAATATCCTAAAATGAGCAATCTCACTGTAACACCATAAACTGCAGCACATAAGAGAACATGGAAAATAAGTCACTCTCTTATACACCAGAAGGGGATAATCAAAAAGGAAGCTTGACTTTTTGACTATCTCTGGTGGTAGAGTAGTTTAAAACAACTCCTTTCCTTCTTTGAGGTAATTTATAAATCTAAGAAACCACTTAATATTTCAGGCACCATGCTTAATATATATCTTTTTACACACAAAATATTGTTTCATTCATTGCTGAGCCAAATGCTCATTTCATACAGAAGATCAATATCAGGCACTCATTTTATTACATTTATATCACAGGTTGTAGAATTTCTGCTGGAGGCAAGTTCCATAAATCCAGATAAATTCTTGCATTGTTGAAAAGTAAATCTGCAGGATGAATAAAGTATAAAGAGTTACATACTCACTGCTGGGCCTGTTCTCCTGTCAAAGTCAGTGGCAGGTTGAGTACAGATTGATGTCAGATAGATTTGTTGAAAAAGCCCTCCCAAAACATGCTGTGGTCAGTTATAAATAAAATCTCATCTTCCCCTCTTGCTCAAGGTCAGCACCACACCAGCTTGGAGCTTTTAGAGCTCCCACTCCACCATGAGCAAAACTGCAGCAGGAGGAGGAAAAGCTCAGTGAAAATTTGACTCAAAGACCTGGAAATAAAACCCCAGAATTCTATTCTAGTTCATGGTGAGGTGAGGGAGGGAGTTTGTTGTGGTTTGTGTTGGCAGGTGCTGAACACTTGAATATCCAAATGTGTCTGGTTTGTTCAGAAAGAGGAATTGTATGAAAGTTGTTGTGGAACAGAGATTTATTTATTGGACATTTGGGCAAAAAAAGGCTTTCATGAGTCAGGGTATTTGGGCCATTCTGCAAGTAACTAAAGGGAATGTGGTGGCAAAATAAATTTGCAATCTCTCAGTGACGCAGAGGCATCAGTATTTTGTTGAGAACAGAGATCTGAAGTCAGTGTGTTCTGCCTGTTCTTTGGACAGCAGTTATGAGAGCAACATAAAACACTGGGGTGTAAAAATCCTCAAAACTACTGGGAGAAACAGAAATTTGCTTTGGTGCTTGAAATTTCCTTACCCACCCCCCTTATTTCAATATTGGCTGCTTTTGAGCAGGATATTCAAAAGGATGAAGAATGTTTGAAGAGACTGACATTAGAGAGGGATGTTCTATAGAAATCAAGTCAGGTGCATTCCATAATATATACAAATGTTCCTAATATATAAAACATTCACATACAGACTCTTGGGATTACATCCATCTCCCAATGTGAATTGAGCATGTTCTCATTATGCTGACAGCATAAATTGCCTTCACTAAGTAAATATGAATTTCCATAGGGAATACTGAGGTCACTGAGGGTGGCAAGAATTAAAAATCTCCCAAACTGTCTCTACATTGCTACATCTTGAAATTTCACACTCATTCAAAAGACACCTGACATCTTCATGGTTAAACCTTCCAGCAAACAGAATTTCTTTTCTTCTATTTTCTAAGGAAGGAATAAGGAAAACCCCACGATGATCTGAGAGCAATGTCACCTGAAAACATCTATAAGCAAATAAATAACAGATGTACTGGAAATTCAGCCCAGCTAACAAAAAATTAAGTAAATCTTGATGGGAGCAATGAATAATTGAGAGGCCACATCATTGGAGTGGCCAGAGGCAGGTCTGCTCAGAGTCCAGGCTGTGCTGAACGATAATTCAGGGCTCAGAAAGAGTGAGCACTGCACAACACAACTGCTGATTGCAGGCAATCTCATCAAGCCCAGTCAGCAGCTCTGCAAACATCAATGCACTCCAGCACAGACTGCAAATGGAGCCACAGCCTGACCCTGCTTGCAGGGCCAGGACTTCATTAGCTTTTGTGGTGTTTCATTTTAGGGGTAAAATATGGACTCGACAGCTTACTGTGCAGAAAGGAAAAATCCCCAAACGCTGCTACAGAGCTAAATTGTTCTGAGGGCTGGGCAGGGTAAAACACACTCCTGAAGGGGAACCTCTGCTGGCCAATTCTATAACACAAAAAGACTTGTTACTCCCTTTAAACATGGATGGGTTTCATTCAAGTAGTTTGCAAGAAGCAGCACAGTAAAATGAGGCAGGCAGGTAGGTCTGTTTGTTCAGCTATTTCACGAGCTCAATATTCTCTGTACACAATTCAAGGACAGCTGCCACGCTACCTGTGAGCTGGGGTTTGTTTATCTCTGGTACCAGTGACTCAGGCAGATCCATATTGCTTCTCCCTCAGTGTCTTTGGATGCCGGTTCACAGACTGTTCTTTTGTTTATTTCCCTCTCTGTCTTGTGCCAGGGTGAGTGTTCCCAGAAGTGCTATTACATCTTCGTCATCGAGACCATCTGCGTGGCTTGGTTCTCCCTGGAGTTCTGCCTGCGGTTCATCCAGGCCAGGAGCAAGTGTCAGTTCTTCAAAGGACCCCTGAACATCATTGACTTCATGGCCATTTCCCCTTACTACGTCTCCCTCATCTTCTCCGAGGACGACTCCAGAGAGGAGGAGGACAGGCCGAGCAGCAACACCTACCTGGAGAAGGTGGGCTTGGTGCTACGGGTTTTACGTGCCTTGAGGATCCTGTACGTCATGCGCCTTGCCCGGCACTCCCTGGGGCTGCAGACGCTGGGCCTCACCGTGCGCAAGTGCACGCGGGAATTCGGGCTGCTGCTGCTCTTCCTGTGCGTGGCCGTCACCCTCTTCTCCCCGCTGGTGTACCTGGCCGAGAACGAGTCGGGCAGGGTGCTGGAGTTCACCAGCATCCCCGCCTCCTACTGGTGGGCCATCATCTCCATGACCACCGTGGGCTACGGGGACATGGTGCCGCGGAGCGTGCCGGGCCAGATGGTGGCTCTCAGCAGCATCCTCAGCGGGATCCTCATCATGTCCTTCCCCGCAACCTCGATATTCCACACCTTCTCCCACTCCTACTCCGAGCTGCGCAAGGAGCACGAGCGGCTGCAGTCGCGGCTGAGCCGAGCGAAGAACGCCAATCGCTCCGGGGAGAGCGACACCTTCAACGAGACTGACAGCCTGATCCTGGACGGCCAGGTGTCCCCCATCAAACACATCCCCACAGGGAACTGAGCCTGGTGTCTCCCATCAAACATCTCCACACAGGGACACCAAACACATCCACACAGGGAACTGAGACTGGAATCCCCCATCAAACACATCCACACAGGGAACTGAGACTGGAATCCCCCATCAAACAGATCCACACAGGGAACTGAGCCTGGCCTGGGGCATTCCCAAAAACAGCCACAGAAACGTGCACATGTGTGCATCAGTAAAATACACGAAGCAAAGCAACAACACAGGTTACAGTGCTGTCCTCTCCCTGGCATAGGTATAAGGAGCAGCCAACCCAACAGAGCCAGCTCCAAAAAATCCCCATGGAACTGGAGGCTGGGAGAATGTAAACAAGCCAGAGTTTATTCCATGATAAACGCTCATTCATCTCTATGACTACTCAGAATAAACTTTGTCTCTGCCACTCATGCATCTTGCTGAATACCTAGTAGTGAAGGAGTAACAAACAAACAAACCAGCTTCTGTTGGCACAAACACACTCATTATTCCATTTGCCTTTGAGTTCCCAGCGCTCTCGCAGTGAGTATGCTGGGCCAGGCGTTAGGACACGTTCTTTCAGGGCTTCACACCAGTGTATCCACAGCTCACCCACCAGGCATACAGATACAAATCCAAATTCTGTATTTAAGGCCAGTAACAAGCTTAAAACCGCTGTATGTGACAGCTTTCAAGGTTTGCCTGTAGCCAGACGGTCAATCTGTACCCACCAAATTGCACTGCTTTGTGTAATACACATACTGTTTGCAAGAGCATTTGCTTGAAAGGCAGTTGTGGTCTGCAGACTAAACATATCATACTAGACAGCAAAAGTCTTCAAATTTCTTTTTCATATAACTATTTAAAATAACAATGAGGAATAAAAAAAGCCCAAGCTTACTCATCATATTAAAAAGCCTTGGTGTTATATTTTTTTTGTTGAATGGTGATGGTTTCTCTGGAAGAAAGATAAAAAATAGACTTCTTTTAAATGTGATGGTAGCTCAGAAGTATCCAAAGGTATAAATAGAAAAGAATGAGGAGAATGATTGCCAGGGAGGCAATGGGAGTGATTTCCTGATGGGAGTGGAAGTTTCCCCTTTGGGAAACCCATGAACAGCCAGAAGGAAGCAGCAGGGCTTTGCAGAGGTCAGCAATGCTCTTTTAAAGGTAGACTGGATAGTTTTGTACAATTTGACCCTTTAGATGGTGTGAATGTGGCCAGTGAGCTCCATACAAGCCACAGTTGTGCACAGACCTGTGTGTTCAGGGCCCATGTCAGCCACTGAGAGCCCCCTTGACACCCACAGGGCTCTGACACTCAATTTTGGGTATGTATTAAAGCACTGAGATTAATCAAGACCTAAATTAGTTTTTAATCAGATTTCCAGCTTTCATTACTCCATTTCTTAGCTCTTGCCAAGGTCCCCATGTCTGTGTGATGGGGCCAAGCTCAGTGAATGACCTCTCACCAGGGCCAGATTTTGGCAGGCTCCACTCCTGCCCAGCCTGGGGACGCTTCCAAACCCCATCTCCCACCTGGACACCCAAAACCAGTCACCTGCAGCTTCCTGCAGGCATTTGGGAGCCTTGGGGCTGAGCTGCTCCCCTCCCTCCTGCACAGCTGAAGTAGAGAAAAGCACAGTTGTTGGCACAATTGGGATGACGTGACTGGAATTAATCTCTTGGGCTTATCTTGCTATTGACCTTATGATTCAAACCAGAGGAACTGCAGCAGATTATTCATGGGGATGTTCCAACACAAGAGGAACAAGCTGACTTTAGATGACAGGCATTTACATCTGCCCCATTTAATGTGCAATTGCTGCTGGTTTATGCACAGGTCCATCTGATTTTTTATTTTTCACAATCAGCTTTTTTTTTTCTTTTTTTTTTTTTGGTTTTTTTTTCTTTCTTATAGTAATTCTCTACAGTAGTCCCAGTGAGATGATAAATCAGACAAAATCCTGGTCTGCAATATGAACCAGACCTCTCCAGGGTCCTGTGCATGCTGATGCCACCTTCATTTCTCTGAGATTCTGCCCCTCTGGTCTGTGCCAAATCCAGTGCTTGCTCCTGCTGACTGGAGGCTGCTGGACACAAATCCTGATGCAGAATTGCTGCAGCTTTCTAAAAAAACACTTCTCCCACTGACACACACTGTGGAGATACAAACAATCAGGTAGGGCAGCTGATTTGTTTTTTCCAAGTAACAATGTCCTTATTAGCTTAGGAATGGGTTCAAAATGATTGCACACAAAATTAGCCCAGCCACATGGCTCTAAAAATGTAGATATCTGGTGAAATATTGGGGGTTTTACTGCTCAAGTGTTTGTAACAGCTCCATGTCCAACAGGTTCTGTTGTGTAGGTGGGACTGGGCAGTGACAGAAATCCAAACCCTGACTCAGTTTAATATATTTATATATTAAATATATATATATATAAATATATAGAGTGCTTAACCCCGCGTAAGCTCCAAAACACAGCCCAAGGATGTGCTGAATCACAGAGTTCAACCAAACAAACAAAGCACCACTGCTTGACAGGGAAGTGAGGGCTTGCACTTCCAGCAGAATTTGGACCATCACTCGTATTTCAGATTTTAACTTAAATCTCCTCTGATAGCAGGGCCTGGGCTGCGCCAGCTCTCACAGAAAACAATCCTGAGTGATTCATTGTGGTTCCAGGGGAGGAAAAATATGTCAGGAGGAACATTTAGTGCTGGTGTAACTCAACTGAGTAACAAATTCAGAACAAGCAGTTACAATTAGCAGATAGTGTTGTTGCCAAGATCGTATCATTTCCTAACCAGATTTAATTAAAAGAGCAGTTCAGCTGCCTGGCACCCAGATTCTCTGACTTCAAAGCCTTTTCCCTGGATCTAAATCCTAGAAACAGCGGGGGAGCAGCACCCATCAGCCAGGGGAACCACATTGTGCAGCCCTCACCAAGGCATTATATGGCTTTTGAGGTTTCTAATTGCTCCCCTGGCACAGCAGCACCTCCTGTTGTTGTGGGATCCTGCAGAAACCCCCACCATGCTGCTTTTTGGGGGAAAGCAGGAATATATCCTGCTCTGCAGCCCAGCTGTGGACACCAGCCTGCAGGAGTCTGTGACAACACAACACAGGACACTCCCACCTGGTCTGACCTGGACCCAAAACACAGAGAATGGCTTGTGATCCGGGGCTAAATGCAAATTTTCTGTGATGTTGAAATCCCACCGAGGGGTTGAGACCTTTGTCCTGACCTAACTCTGGTTTCCTCAGGGGTTCTGCAGATTGTTCCAGGTCTCTCTTCAGCCCTGGTACCTCCCAGCTGTCCTCCAGCTGTTTCTCCCCTGTGACTTTCACCAGTTCCTCTGGTAGAGAAGCATTACATAAGGTGGACATGTTATTATCTCACTAATTAACTTCCTTTAATTTCATAAGTTCAGTATTTTATTATTTCAGCCTATTATTAGAACACCTGCAATTTGCTTTTCACCCGTCTTTGCATCCAGCCACTAACATAAACTTACCAGGTTGATTAAGTCACAAATTCATTGAGGGAACAGTGTTTTATTTTAGGAGCAACTTGCAAAACAATTCAGGGAGTGGACATGCATTAATTATAGCAGAACTATTTAAAACTTGCACTGGTCAACAATTTTATTTCAAACACACCCAAACACTGTTGTGAAGTTATTTTGATCAATTAAGCACATCTGCCGGGAGAAATTACACTCAGCATGTCCCTTCTGGTGTTTTTCCCCATGAAAGATTTTATCCCTCTTTTTTATAATTTTTTTGGTTCATAAAATTATTTTAATACATTGCAGTGATCTATAAATAATGATGAAAACCTAGAAGGTCAAGGAGAGGAAGAAGTACAGCACATCCCCAGTTTTTACTTCTACAAGTAATAAATTATTAGCCACGTGTTGAAATTAAAACTGATAAAAGGCTGATATAAAAGTCATGATTCCTAAATGCAGTCGGGTTTCTGCAGGGTAAAATTAAGATATTCCAGCACATTTTAGTGAAAGTATTGAATTCCTTCCTGTGAACTTTTGGTTTTGGTAGCAATGAGGCTCTCACCCCTTCCTTGAGTTCCAGCCCTGAGGAACAGGCTGCAGATCTGCTGGGCAAGCTCCAGTTCTTAATCTGCAATATTAGGTTGAAACCTAATTACTCTGTTTTACTGGGTTACTCTGTTTTTTTCCTGGATGGCTGAAATGATGCTCACAAGAAACAGATGAAGAGAAAGAACCGAGGCGTTTCCCCTCCCCCTGCACTCCTGTCTTTACCATTTCACTTCTGGTAGAAAACAGCTCTCAAAAAACTTATTTTCCCAAAATTTGGTGTACTGTAGTTCCCTTGTGCCAGAGAGATGCTCACAGAGGGGGAAGAGCCAAAGCTCGTGCACTGTACCAAAGACCTGCAACCAGAACAGCATCACAGGAACACACACAAAAACCCAGCCCAGATTATCAGCACTAAGCAAAAGTACTTAAGGAGCATTTTAGCAGATTATTACAGCAGATCCAGCAAGAGGGATCAAAATCTAACTCAGATTTCATTATTTTCTACTCAATTCCTGCCAATAACTACAGCAGCTGTAAAATCAAGCAGATATCTAAAAGGGAAGGGCTGTAGAAAACCCTTCAGGTGTTTCTCCTCTGGAAGTTACATTCTGTCATACCATCAGTAATAAAACATAACCATCCTGAAACAGCAATTCCAATTTTAATGAAAAGCTCTACTGCTTCACACCCGGCAAATTCTGTTTTAAAAAGTCATTTAGGACTTAATATATTAGCATAGAACTCCAGACATCCATCTAATTAAGTCATAATATCTTCCAAAATTTCTTTCTTTCCAGTTCAGCCAGAGACAACAGGTTTTGTTTCAGCTTCTCCAAAATAATTTCATCAGCTTTCCAGAGGTTATTCTCAGTAAGAACAAATGGACTGATACAGAATTTCCCTGTGGCCTGAAGCTCAAGTAGAGGAGAACAATTAATGTTGAATTTGCA